GGGTCTGGCTTCCATTTGAAGGTGGAGATGTCCATGCTTGTCAGCATGCTGGGGATGCTCTCATGAGAGACTGACTCATGCTAACTAGAAAGCGGGGAGGTAGACACTGCAATGCTGGCTTGTTAATTTGCTACGAGGAACCATCATCAGAGAGACCAGACGTACTCAAAGTCCACATAATCAGCAGACATTCTCCCTGTCGGCAGACCTCTACAGGAAGCCAAATCATAATCAGGAACTATACATTAAGTTGCCCTGAAAAATCATCACAGATTTTGCAAATACCTCAGGTCTCTATGATCAGTTCATTCTCTCCCTGAAAGTACCTGGGGAGCTAAATCATGGTCCAAAGGTTGTTTGGTGAGTGGATAATCAGGACAGGGGAGGCAGAGGGAGGGGAATGTTTAATGGCAACAGGAACTTCATGGGTCCATGCCAGAATGGGAACAGCTTTGCCAGAAAGGCTGATCTACTCAAAACCAAGTGGCTGAAACTTCCTTTTACCTAGAAGGGCAGTTGGATAGTGTATTAATTAACTCAGCAGCTTAAAATAATAAACACGTTACAACAGTTTCTATGGATCAGAAACATGAGAGATTCTGGCTTAGGATTCCTCAAAATGGTATCTGGGCTGCACTCATTCAAAGGCTTAGCTGGGCTAGGAGATCTGCTTCCAAGATGGTTCCCTCATATGGCTGGCAACTTGATGTTGGGTGTTGGCACAAGGCCTCAGTTCCTCACCACAAGGACCTCCCCATTGGGTTGCTTGCGTAATGTCACAGCCTGGCAGCCGGCTTTCCCCAGAGTAAGTACTTGAAGACAGCAAGGTGAGGCTGCAGTGCCTTTTATAACCTAATCCGTGAAGTCACATGCCGCCATTTCCCCTGCATTCTACTTACTGCATGTGACTCACTGAGTCCAACCTGCACTGAACAGGAAGGGAATTAGGCCCCACCTTTCAAAGAGAGGTGTGTCAAATAAATAGTTAACATATTTTAAACTGCAATAGGCATCACTTCCATTGTCTCTGTAACTCCTTTTTATTATACTTCTGCTGCTCACCAACTCCTCTGATAACTCATGGCCTCTATTAATACATTTATATGATGTTTGTAACTATTCCATACTTACATGCATGTTATGTCTAATTCTATATCATATGTAATTATAGAACATCTAATTATATTATAAATATCGACATATTTGGTCTCTGGCCAGGCTTTTGTAGCAGGATAGCCATTATGTATCTCATATCGAATTTGCCCACCTCATTTCTGCCACTTCACTAGCAGGGGGCCGGGGACAAGTAATTGCCCCGTCTGTGCCCCTGTGCCTTCATCTGTAAAAGAAGGCTAGTAATAGGACCTACCTCATAAGCTTCTTGGGAGGATTAAGTGAGTAATTAAATGCACAGGGCTTAGAAGAGTGCCTGGCACTTCGAAAACATTCAATACTGTTGGCTCTCAGCGGTGGCAGCTGGAGTGGTAACAGAAATAGTTTGATCCAGTAGGTGTAGTTAGCCCTCAGAGAGCAATCCGATTTCCATGTTCCCAGTGGTAGTAAACAAAAGCCATGCTTGCCTTCCTGGTCCCCCCATCCAAGGGACCGGAGCCAGTGGCCTCTCATTTTCCTTCCTCTTCGCTCTGCTTGTTCCTCCTCTGAATCCCAGGTTAATCTGTGGCAGAGAGCAGTTATGTGGAGATAGCATGTTTAGTTTGTACTCTGACTCCTATTTACATTTGGTTTTTGTTGCTGATTTTTTTTTTTTTTTTTTTTTTAAGGCTGACCTTTTGTGGAAGGGTACAATATCCGAACAGGGAAATGACATAGCAGTAAGCTAGGGAGTTCCTCAGCCTCATGAATTTTTTCTTAGAAGTCATTCCCAATTTTATCTTTAAATGTACATTTTCACGGGTGTACACTAGCCACCTCTGATTACGGTAGGCTTACAACATAGCCCCTTTTTCCGCTTGACCCCTTTTGCTTCTTTCCAACACCTCTTGGGCTTAATGAATAGAGTTTATCTTCATGCTAAGCACATTCATCATCTAAAACATGCCTGGTATTTGCTGAAGATTAATTGATGAGAAAATTAGAATTGGAATTTTCTTCGCCTCTCAGCGATACTTTAAAAGGGAGGCTATACCTAGTGGAATGTGTGAGACTTGTCTTCTGTCAGGTGGCAATTAGCTAAATATAGAGTCGGGGAGCTGGGAGGGACCTGCTGAGGTCATCTGTGCCCTCCCGCCCGCCTTCTCCAGCTGAATGTCTCCAGCCCTGTGCTCACCAGCTCAGTAGCCACTAGCCACATAAAGCTTCTCAGCTCTTCAGCTGTGGCTGGTCCAAGTTGAGACGTGCTGTCCGTGACAAAACACACTGACATTTTAAGGCTTGTAAAAGACTTTTAAGACTGAATTCTGAAAAAATGGCTCATTAATAATTTTATGAAATTAATAACTGATAATGAAGTGACAATATTTTGATATCGCTAAAATTCACAGTCACCTATTTGTCCCTTCTTTAATATGGCTACTAGAAAGTTTAAAATACCCTTTGTGGCTTATGTTTTATGACTGTTGGACAGTTCTACTCAAGATTATTTCACTCTGTTGTTCAGACCCCCAGGGCAGAGATTCTAAAGCCTTCCTTGGTTACTCTGAGTCTTTGATTATTCTGGCAGTTCTGTTCTCCCCGTCCTGTCTCAGTGTCTCCTGCTTCAGTTTGGAGACTGCTACTCCAAGTGGTTAACTCTTTGACATCTCCTTATGAAATCCCTACTTGAAGTGAGTCAGGCATCTCTTCATATTGTTTTAAGCACAGTAAACCCATTTTCTCTTCACCCTTTCACTTTCTACCTCCTTGATCATTTTTAATGACTTCTCTTGGGTCATCTCTGGTTTCTCTGTATTATTTTTTAAAACTTGGTATCCGAAACCATTGACACTGCTCTAACATGAGGCCAACTATGCAGAGACAAGCAGAAGGAATTACCTCCATCATCAAGTACTTGACCAGCCCTTTTGCTACTTTGCATTATTTAATCTGACAGCACATGGAGGGGCAGATGCTGTCTGTATCACTCTTCATAAGGTGGTTGGGGCTCAGAGAAGTTAAATAACTTACCAAGCTTCTACCACAAATTAAGTGGCAGATCTGGGGTTTGTGCCCAACTTTGCCTGACTCCAAAGCTCATGCTCTTTCATTATACACCATGCCTCATTTTTTTGCTGGTATTTTTCTTAAAATATTCTTTCCTGTGGTCTTGACAGGCATTGCAGTACAGGCTGATGCATTTGTAGTTTATGGTCAACAGTGATCATTGGGCTTGTTTTTGTTATGTTTGCACCTAGCTAGTGTTGCTAAGCCCTTCAACTAAATTCCAGAAACCCCTTCCAGCCCTCCAGATATGCCATAAAAGCCAGCAGGACTGCCCAGCCCTCGCCCTTGTAGGGTCATCCATGGGCCAGTGTTGAGATCTCCATGTGTCAGGAATGACTTCTCTGAAAATGAGCTTGCTTTCCTCTGGCCCAGAGCCTGTGAATAACTGTCAGTCCCAAGGCAAGCTATTTCTCAAAGGTTAATCAAGGCAAAGTGCATTGTTCGCATTTTGAGTGAGAGGGGACAGAAAGGATCCTTCTGAGTGTGTTAAAAGCAGATCTTCCTGTAGCTTGAAACTTGAGGACATTATGCTTAGTGAAGTAAGGCGGTCACAAAAGGACAAATACTGATGATTCTACTTCTCTGTGGTACCTAGAGTAATTAGAGTTTCAGCTTGAGAAGATGAAAGGGTTCTAGAGAAGAGCGGTAGTGATAGTTGCACACCACTGTGAATGGTGTATATTCTTTTTCTTTTTCTTCTCTTTTCTTTTTCTTTTTTTCTTTTTTCTTTTCTTTTTTTTTTTTTTTTTTTTGAGACCGGGTCTCCCTTTGTCACCCAAGCCAGAGTACAGTGGTGCAATAGCAGCTTACTGCAGCCTCGACCTTCCAGGCTCAAGCAATCCTCCCACCTCAGCCTCCTTAATAGCTGGATCTACAGGCATACACCATCACATGTGGCTTTTTTTTTTTTTTTTTTTTTTTTTTTTTTTTTTTTTTTTTGTAGAGATGAGGTCTCATTATGTTTCCCAAGCTGGTCTCTAACTCCTGGGCTCAAGCAGCCCTCCTGCCTCGGCCTCCCAAAATGCTGGGATTACAAGTGTAACCAACCACCTCCAGCCTGTGAATGTTCCTAATACCATTGAATATATGCTCAAATAGGATTAAAGTGGTCAGTGTTGTGTGTATTTTACCCAATAAAAACAAACTGATCTTACATAAAGAAAAACAGTGATTAGAGGTGCCCCAGGAGCCAAGTCTTGGGTCCATTGCTTATTCTAGCTTTGATCGCACAGTTGTTCTGAGTTAGCTTCTCATGAGAAAGGTCCAGGCTTACCACACAGAGATGAGGGGAGCTCTTTTATTCCCTGACAAATTTCTCCGTCTAAGAAGTTGTTCCAATTTCACACAAATGCCTTTGCCAGGATTAAAACCACGTTCAACAGATATCTGGGGGAGACGTCCGGGGGAGGGGAAGCAGCCTTACCCCCAGGACTCTGGAATGGGACCTTTATTCATATTTGCTTTTTCATGGAGAGCTTCTTAGTCTTAGGCCCCTGTCTATCGGGGACAGGCTAGACCTTTCTCAGAAAGAAAACAGAGCTGTAAATTCTATTTGATCGTGCCCAGGTAGTTGTAGCTTTTTTTGGAAACATGAATGAGAATTTGATTGAGTTCGATTGAGTACCCAAGTATCTAAGAATGATTGATCTGTGTTTCATTGGAGTCCCTGGCCCCTGAAAATCTGGGGTCAGTTAACCAATCTGATTCACAAGGCTTTTTTGAGAAAATATAGCTGGGGTGTATAGATTGGGACCCTAATCCATAAAAATTCTCTTTAGAGTATCTGTTTAGAGTCATTGTGGGTGGATTTGCTTATTTGCCCTGTCTATTTTCCTTTTCAGGAATCATTAACCAATGGCAACAGGAATCCAAGGATAAAGTGATTTCCCTCCTGTTAACTCATCTGCCTTTGCTGAAGCCAGGAAACCTCGACGCAAAAGTAGAATATATGAAACTGCTGCCCAAAATCCTGGCTCACTCTATTGAACACAACCAGCACATTGAGGAGAGCAGGCAGCTGCTGTCCTATGCTTTGATACACCCGGCCACTTCTTTGGAAGACCGCAGTGCTTTAGCCATGTGGCTGAATCACCTGGAGGACCGCACGTCGACCAGCTTTGGTGGCCAGAACCGAGGCCGCTCAGACTCTGTGGATTACGGACAGACACACTACTATCACCAAAGACAGAACTCCGATGAGAAGCTCAACGGGTGGCAGAACTCTCGGGATTCCGGGATTTGCATCAATGCCTCCAACTGGCAGGACAAAAGCATGGGGTGTGAGAATGGCCATGTGCCCCTCTACTCCTCCTCATCTGTCCCCACCACAATCAATACAATTGGAACCAGCACAAGTACAAGTAAGTTCCAGCCCTTTAACGTAGTCTGGTTTGGCGATTTGCTGTGTTTGTGGCATGTCCCGCTGACAATGTCTGCTCCGTGCACCCAGTGACCCTGGGAGAGAAGGGCTGATGGGAATTGGCTATGGGAAAGGGCCTTTGGACCCCATATTTGTTGCTGTTTGACTGCAAAGATGAAAATACTGGGAAGGTAAAAGTGATTAATGGTCCAAACTTGGGTTCCAAACAGACCAAAAATAAATACAGAATAAATGAAAGAAGGAAACCTCCCGTTTCCACAAACAGAAATGCCTTTCACCCACGTCTTTCACCCTGGGGTTTTGGATTTGCCGAGACACTGAGTTACCGTGTGATTCTCTAAACCTAATTCTAACCCATGGTTAACCAGCCAGCCTCATGGGCTTTGTGCTTTTTCTTTATTTCCCCCCCCCTTTTTCTTTCTTTCTTTCTCTCTCTCTTTTTTTCCCCTTCAATTTCACCCTGGAATGTTTCCTCCCTTTGCATTTTCTGGTTTTAATTCCCAGTTGTCGGGGTACTTTGTTCCTGACCAGTGGGAGCAGGTTTGCTAACTGAGAATGCTGCTGTGTGCCGTGGCCTGGTGAGAGTGCCGTGGACTTAACCTTGCTCCGTCCAACGCTTTAGGAGAGGTGGGTCAGGAACTGCTTAGTGGGCAGGGAGAGCGGAGGACAGCCCTCTGCTCTTTTGACCACTAAAGCAAAGTACTGCGCCCACAGCTGGGCAGTGAGGCTGGGAGTCCTCTCTGTGTGTCCCCACTGAAGCCAAGCAAAGTAACGAACACACCATTGGTGCCTATATAAAGTGGTGGTGTGGAAGTGCACCCCATCTTCAAACAGTTTTCCTTAATGCTAGTTTGCACCTATCCATGAATGCAGTGGTAGTGCCAACATAACTTTCTTGAAGGAGTGAGTGCTTTTGCAGTTAGACCTGATGTGCCTGTCTTCATGCAGGAACCCCCAGGTAAAAGATATAAGAGGATTAGTAATTGGGGTCCCAGCACAGAGGCTCAGGCCTGTATTCACAGCACTTTGGAAGGCCTAGGCTAGTGGACCACTTGAGGTCAGGAGTTTGAGACCAGCCTGGCCAACATGGCGAAACCCCATCTCTACCAGAAAATACAAAAATTAGCCAGACTTGATGGTGTATGCCTGTAATCTCAGCTACTCAGGAGGCTGAGGTGAAAGAATCGCTTATACCCAGAAGGCAGATGTTGCAGTGAGATGAGATCGTGCCACTGCACTCCAGCCTGGGTATAAGCGATTCTTTCACCTCAGCCTCCTGAGTAGCTGAGATTACAGGCATACACCACCAAGTCTGGCTAATTTTTTTTTGCTTTTACATTTAGATATGGGTCACTTGCACATTTTGGGAATTAGGTGATTATTGCATCTTAATTTATTATATAAGAGGTTCTGATGACAGTCAGTATCTTTCACAGACTATAATCCAGCAGGAGCGGTTCACTGGTCTCGGTGTGACAGGGAGTGATGGCTGGGACTTCTAAAGCAGACACATGCAGCCAGCTGACAGACTCTTGGCCTGAGTTTCCTGCATCAGCAACAGAATCTAGTAATTGTTACAAAACTCTTTAATAGCTGGGAGAGATGCAAGCTCTAGGCTACCTACCCTCTTATAACTTGGTCTTTTGTATTTTAAGGGATTGAGTTTTATGTCATTTGTCTTGAAGTTAGTCTTGGGTCATTATATATTTCTACCTACTGGTTTATACATCCAGGATCTGGTCTTGACAAGATTAGTGCATTTAAGATGGTTATCAGATTGCAGTCAACAAGTAGCCACCTAGCCAACCCTACAGAGAGTAGAAAATTTGTAGATGACTGTCATGGCCCTACTGAACTCTGAACCCCTGTGTAATACTTGGGTGCGAAGGACTTGGAGGCTTAACTAGGTGACTAGACGACATATCTCTGGGAGAAGGCAGGCATTGGAGCCCTCTTGCAGAGCATCAGAGAAGAAGATAAAAGAGCTCAGATCTCCCCTCCAGAAAGTTTCGTTCAAACACTTAGGGCCATATCAACACTTGTATGTCAATAGTATCTCTTTAACAAAATGTGAATGTCATTGCTGTACTCCTTTGCATTGTCTATGGTGGTTCAACCAAGTGAGTCAAAACTGCAAGGCTTCAGGTCACTTGTTCACTGGTGCCTCTGTCAATAGACGCTGAGCACCTGGGAGGCTGCGTGACAGAGGGAAGAGCAAGGACTTTGGTATCAACGCCTCCTAGGTCCAAATCCCAGACCTGCAATTTGCTACCTACAATTTAGACAAGTGATTTAACCTTGTCAAGGTGCCCACTTGTAAAACTGCAACATTCACAAGATGTACCTTCGAGCGTTGTGGTGAAGGTAAATAAGATTATGTAAATGCCCAGCCTGGTTAGAGCAGCCACGGTAAGCACTCCAAGGGTGCCTGTTAGATGAGTAAATAAAAGAAACTGGGAAAGACGGTGAGGAGCTAAGTGTTGACACTGATATTCAGAGTCTGTGCCCTCATTTTCAGTTCCGATGGGTGCCTGACATAAGCATCTTACCCTGAGCCCAGGGCCAAGCAGAGCAGTCTAAGGGGCTTCGAATATGCTATGATTTTTGGCCGTTCCACCACAATAGAAATTGAGTTGGACTTAAGGCTTCTTCTACTGCACTGAAGAGCTATACTTTCTACCTCTTTCAAAGCGGAAAAACGAACTGCATATGACAACATGATGCAGAAATCAATTAGTGCTGTGCATTTTCAATGATCAGCCACATTCGTGACGGTGAACGAAAGGCAATCAGAAAGCCACCTCTTTAGTTTTTATTTTTGTTTTTCACCTTGGCTTATTCCACTGATATTTTATTCCTCAATCATTGGGCCTTCAACAGAGTGCCATAGCATTTGTGGTTTCCTCCCCATGTGGATTCCCAGTCATTCCGCTACCCTGCAAGTGCTGCCTGCCCGCCTTCTGCGTGCCTAGCACTGTGCGTAAGTCCAAGCTGAAGACCGTGTTTCTACTTCCAAGGAGCCTGTAATTGGAGAAGAGAGGATATATTAATCTGTCTCCCAATTAAAAATTAAATATTCCTAGCCGGGCGCGGTGGCTCAAGCCTGTAATCCCAGCACTTTGGGAGGCTGAGGCGGGTGGATCACGAGGTCAAGAGATCGAGACCATACTGGTCAACATGGTGAAACCCCGTCTCTACTAAAGATACAAAAAAATTAGCTGGGCATGGTGGCACGTGCCTGTAATCCCAGCTACTGAGGAGGCTGAGGCAGGAGAATTGCCTGAGCCCAGGAGGCGGAGGTTGCGGTGAGCCGAGATCGCGCCATTGCACTCCAGCCTGGGTAACAAGAGCGAAACTCCGTCTCAAAAATAAATAAATAAATAAATAAATAAATATTCCTTTTTGCCAGACTTATCATCCATAGAAACTTCATATAACAATTCATGAGTTATATAAAAGTGCAGCGAAATCGTACTTAAGAGCTGCCACAGGGCATGTAGGATGAAGTGCCGGTTGAATGTAGATCTATCCTGTCCGTGCTGTGAATGTACAGAATGGAGAGAGCCTTGTGAACTGGAGGCTCAAGAAAGCCACTCTGGGAAGCCAATGTGGGAGGATAGGTTGAGGCCAGGAATTCAAGGACAGTCTGAACAACATAGCTAGACCCTGTCTCTGAAAACAAAACATAGCTTGACCGGGAGCCATGAGTGTGGGTGACAGAGCAAGATGCAGGAAAGAAAAGAAAGAAAAAAAGAGGAAGGAAGAAAGGAAGGAAAGGGAGAGAGACAAAGAAAGGAAAAAGAAGAAGAGAGGGAAAGGGAAAGGAGGAAAGAGCAGAGAGAGAGAGAAGGAAGGAAAGAAAGAAGAAAAGAAAAGAAGGAAGGAAGGAAAAGGAGGAGAGAGAGGAGAGAGAAAGAGAAGTGCTGGGCATGGTGGCTCATGCCTGTAATTCCAGCACTTTGGGAGGCCAAGGCGGGTGGATCACTTAAGGTCAGGAGTTCAAGACCGGCCTGGCCAATGTGGTGAAACCCTATCTCTACTAAAAATACAAAAATTAGCTGGGTGTAGTGGCACACTCTTGGAATCCTAGCTACTGGGGAGGCTGAGTCAGGAGAATTGCTTGAACCCAGGAGGTGGAGGTTGCAGCGAGCCGAGATCATGCCGCTGTACTCCAGCCTGGGCAACAGAGCAAGACTCCATCTCGAAAAAGAAAAAGAAAGCAAGCTTTTGCAGGGGAAGTGGAAAATGAGCTAAGATGGAAAGGGGAAGGAGAATCTGGAGGGAGGGGGCCCCTGGGTAGGAATACGCACTGGGAGCAAAGGGACGGGGGTTACGGTGTGCAGGCACGGTGGACAGTGAAGAGGAAGGACAGGCTCACGAAGGGAGGGGAGGGAGGGCAGGCAGTAAAAGTAGGGCCGGGGGAAGGGATCTGAGTGCCTCGAAGAGGCCAAGCATTTACATCCCAGGCACAAGAGTGACACGCTGTATGGGGGAATGGATTGTCTGTGGGCAAACCAGATGAGTGGCCTCTGACAAATGCCAAATCAGCAAGTTTCAATGTTGTGAAGTAATGAAAGTATCGTTAGGATAGGAGCCGGTGTGGAGCAGAAGGAATGGCTACTAGAAATGTTCCTAGGTGGAAATATTAGGATTAGCATTCAGTATTGACATGGACATACTTTTTTTTTTTTTTTTTTTTTTGAGACAGGGTCTTACTCTGTTACCCAGGCTGGACTACAGTGGTGTGATCATGGCTTACAGAAGCCTTGACCTTCTGGCCTCAAGCAATACTCTTGCCTCAGCCTCTTGAGTATCTGGGACCACAGGCATGCACCACCACACCCAGATAATTTTTGTATATTTTATAGAGACAGGGTCTCCCTGTGTTGCCGAGGCTGGTCTCAAACCCCTGGGCTCAAGCAGTCTTCCAGCCTAAGCCTCCCAAAGTGCTGGGTTTATACGTTGAGCTACCACCCTCAG